GCTCTAATCTGTTGGTCTCAGAAAACGAATGTGGCCCTGACCTCAGGGCCACAGCTTGAAGGATTATTTTGGGCACTAGCATCTTTTGCAATTAGAAGTGCATGGTTATGAATGATGGCTCTGCAGAACACGAGCACCAGGGTGTGAATGTTTGCCAGATAAATACAGTTATACAGGGCAAACAGAGTCTGGTAAAAATGGCCTGAGAAGCCAATAGTCCCAGGAACAAAAAGCAATATGCTCTGTTCCATTAAACTACTTGGGGGAGAAAATAGATGATGAGAACAACAGCAGGGGGAAAGGATGCTTTTATGGTTATGGCTGGAAGAGGGACGCTAAGAGATGTATCAGATGATATTCCTATCTGATGTGGGAGGCTGTTGTTTACCATCAATTAAAATGCACAAGGAGGAAATCATTCAAGGGAATCTAGCCAGTGGCTCTTGGAAGATATTTTCCTAACTAGAATTTAAAAAGGTGTTTTGAATGGACCTACTTTGACTCAGGGAACCATACATCAGAATTAAGATCTTTTCTCTGAAAGAGATTTAGCATGCTACCCTCTCCATGGTGAGAAGCTGTTGGTCAGAATGAAGGGACATTCTGTTTGGTACAGTTGTTTTGTGTTTAGTGGCACGCTGGGTAAGAATCCTGGCAACAGGATGAATGCAATGTTCTAGTTGAAGACTCGGGGCCTTCGGGCAAGATGTCGGTACGTATTTCCCATCTTCAGAGTCCACAGAAAGATTTTATTAGGTGGCGTCTCACAAGCCAGTGTCTACTACGGACCATATCTAAATCATTTCAGCTGATAAGGGGAGGCATCTGGCCAAGGCAGACCGGGTTCAGGAAACGATTTGTGCTGTGGGGGCGTGGGGAGGGCTCCAAGATGTCTTTACAATTACAGCCCCATCACTAATTTTAATTACCCCCTCTGGTATTGATGACGGAGCACCTGCACACTGAACAATACTGATGATGCACGAGTTTGGGTTACACAGCTAACACTACAAGTGCCACACAATTTGGGGGAAATGCGAGATTTTGAAACATGATGTCTAGACGTGATTTTTTTTCTTTTGCAACCAAATAAACATCTCTGAATTCTGTTTCCCAAGAAACTACCTTCCTGTTTAACATCCCCTCGATAAATGAGGACACTGTTCTGAAGCGATCTTTAGAGGAAACATTCAAGTTGTTCTTTCGCCATAGCAGAGAACACAACAGAGGCAGAGCTGTCTATCAGAAAGCGAGTCTCTGTTTCTTAACTGGGGCCTGTGTCTGTCTGGGAATCTTGCAGTGGGGCAGCCAGGACGAGAAGGGAATGTTAGGTTGTGATGGACTGCTGCTCCACCAGGACCTGGCTGTTACCCACACGGAGGCCATGGAGTGAGGGGCCTGGGCGGGCAGCGTGGTGGGAGGACAGCTTCTGCTTTTCATAGCCCTTAGGCTTTCATGCAAATACAGTAACTAGTTGAGATCTGTACTTGGCTGTTAACACAGTTTGAGGATGTTTATAAGCACAGGGTGGTGGTGAGGCTGGGCCGGCAGAACCCATCTGTCGTTGGTCAGCCAGTGGTTACCCAGTGAGTGTCCAGTGTCTGTCCCGAGCCTGGGCGCTGCCCCGAGCACACTGACCGGGGTTTGCCCAGCTGGAGGCGGCATCAGGGCCGGCCCTGGTCGCCGAGGCTTCCCCTGCTTCTGCCTGAGGTGGGTCTGAGGCCCACTGAGGAGCCCCTGTATCCCTACTTTCCTCCTGCCGGCTCCTCTTGAGTCCCCAAAATTTCTCCCGGGCTTCCAGTCAACCCCATAGAGTCAGAAGCGACATCCCCAAAGCTGTGGGTATTGAGTGTGTGTCTAATTTTAAGTCATTGACTTCCTCCCCTCTCCACTGTGCCTCTGTCGGTTGAAAGGGTTTTCAGAGAGGAACACCAGAAAAAAAAAAAAAAAAGCATTTCCAGGAAAGGAAGAGAGTTGAGAATTTACACCCCCTCCTACCCCCAACCCTGGCCTCGTCCTCAGAGTATCCCCTCTGAAAGTCCGGGCAGGGCAGGCGCTGGGAGGGCGTGCGCTTCCGGTGCCTGAGCGCGTGCGTGAGTGCGTGAGGAAGGGGCCCGGCCTGTGAGGAGACCCCGCTGCGCTTTCCAGGATGTGCGGGGGACACTCCCAGTCCAGCCTGACCTGAAGCAAGCCTGTCTGCCCGGGTCGACCATTTTGAACATGGCTTAGGCCCGAAGCCCCGGCTGTGTGAGCGCAGCTCCTGGGGCCTCTTGCTCTGTTTCCCCACTTCTTGTAGTGGAGGTCGCGGGGTGTTGACTGCCACCTCCAGCTCCTCGGCTTTCTTCAAGGACACCAAGGGAACCGCTGGGCCCCTTGCTGAAGGTACGACCAATTTTGAACTCCTTGCCACCCCCGAAATCCTTCAGAAATATGGATGGGGGCAAACAACAACATTCACGCCCCTCTAAACTTTGATCCCGACTTTTTAGGAACACATGTGCAGGCCCTTGTGGGAATTAAGATGGAATGTCCTGGGGGCATCCTGGGAGAGACTTCCAGAGAGAGTCAAGGCCTTCGCGAGCTCCCCTCCCGCAGCCGCGGCCTGGCTGTGGTGAACATTTTGGTAAAATGCAGTCAGCTGAACGCTGAGAGAACAAATGGCAGGAGCCACCACATGAGACCTGTTGCTGGCTGTCCTGGACCCATCCAAGGAGTTTCCTTCAGCCGTACCTCAGATGAGGGGCGAAATGACCTGCTGTCAGCCTTGGGCATCCATGAAGGCCCTTGGTACTCCACCCCGCCACCCCAATCTGTTCGTTTTCTTTTTTTCTAGAAGGCACTGAACTCTCTCTGCTTCATGATGGTTTCTGAGAAGCACAGAGCCTCGTCTCCTATGCTAACCTCACCTCTTGCTTTAGCTCACATTTTGTTTTTATTTCTCTTGGTCTGTCTTTAGCGTTTCTTGTTGCTTTTAAGTTGTGTGTTGCTAAACTGAATCCTCTCAGGAGCAAAACCAGAAAGTAAAAGTATTCACAAGCCGTATCTTCTGGTCACCTACTCATAACATCACAATAGTGAGCTGGCTTTCCTCAGAGAATTTTCTAGAAGGAGATTATTTGCCCATCAGAGCACAGAGGTCTCTGTTGGCAGGTGGAGTTTCGCTAACACGTTGATGCTTGGATTCCTGCGGGCCTCCTGTGAGCTTGCTGACTGTCCCCAGGAGTGCTCAGCTTATACCGCTTACTCCGTGTGACATTCCACACGGACATGAGTCTCCCCTTGCTTCCTTGAAGATATTTTTCTCACCCCAGGGCCTTTGCTCATGCATTTTCCTCTCTGCTTGGACTATTCCTTCTCTCCGTAGGCCACCTCCTATCATCCCTTAGAGCGGAAGTGGCACTTTGCAATAATTGGGGGGAATTTAAACTAATGCTGATGGGCAGGCCCCAACCCAGACAGTTAAATTATAATTCTTGTGGTTGGGGCCCAGGTACTGATCTTTCTTAGCATGCTAATTTGGCCAAGGCGGAGAAATACTTTGGCATCAAGTCTCTGGTTAAAGGTTCCCCCGTGAGGTGTCATCACCTCACGGCTGCGGTTCATTTTTATGCCATGTAGCTTAGCTTTCTTAATTGCTTTGTGGTCGTTCTCATTTACAATGATTGTTTGCATTTGAAGATTTTGGTTTGTCTTCCTGAAAAACGATCTTGGAATTCAGGTGGTGTAAGGCAAGAGCCTGTTGGCATTGGTCTTTGGGCTTTTCTCTTGTGTGCAGGAGCAGGAGTCTGCATCTGGGCGTGAGCCCTTGCTCCCAGCCGCCACCCCAGCCCTCCTGCTCACATAGGAGGGGCTCTCTCCGTGTTTGCTGAATTGAGTAGATTTTACCTTCTCATGTGTGGGTAGTATTTTGAGCAGGATGCCACCCTGGGTAGTAGCAGTATTATGAATCAGAGATAGTCACATCCAAGTTATTACAGGTTGGAGTGTTGGTTTAGGGTGGTGAGTCCGTCACTGATTTTAAATGTTTGCAGGTGGTCTGCACACCTGGCTCGCTCTAAAGACCAAAACAAGTAAATTTGTGTTTTCAGGCAAACATGAAACTCGGAGGAGTCTGAAAACAACTCATAGTGAAGCACCTACTGACACAGGTGCCAGTTTGAGCCAGGACGGATATGTGGAGGGCGCCCGGGCTCTCACTTGTGGCTGAGGCTGTTCTTGCCAAATTACTTGGCAGTTACTAATAAAGCAAAGCAGATGACCCACCTGTGCTTTCCCTGGGAGTTAGTGGCTTCACCACGCCTGTACGTCAATTCTAGGGAGTTTTTTCACTCGAAGCTTGACCTCACCCAGACTGGCCAGTGAAGTGCACATTTTGTGTGTGAGTTAGAAGGGGAGACTGCAGTTTGCTTCCTGAGGGAATCATCTTGGCACTTTACTGCTCCTTTCCTGACTTAAGTAGGTGACGTGCTGGAGGCACGTGGGGCAGAGAGAAATGAGCCGGGGTGGGAAAAGGAACCATAAATGAAACCCGAATCAGCCACGCGGCAAACACCTCGTTCTGCCTCTCACCTGGCCAAGTCCTGTGTTCTCATGGGGGAGAAAGGCTCTCGTGCGCAGAAAGGCTCGAGCGCCCCTAAAGCCACACTCAGGAACCTCCCTTGCGGAGAAGCCGCTACAGGAAACTGACTTGAGGCACAGGAACTTGCTAATTTCTTTTGTCACATTCAGATTGTTCCTGCTGCCCCAGTCGCCAGCAGCACCCAACCCAGGTGTCCTAGATCGGAGTCGCTCCCTATGCCTTCAGCTCCGTGGTGTGAGTCAGGTGTGCTGTCCGGGAGGTAGGCATGAACTCACTGCGGTGAAAAGGCTTGGGCTGCTTCGGTTTTTACCTTCGCTGCACTGAACCAGTTTGACTTCCGGAGTCAAGCATTTTGGTGTCAAGAAGTTTCTACAGCATTCTACAATAGGTAAGACTTTATGTTTTAAAAAATACTGCTTGAGTGTCCAAAGAAACCTTTCTAAGCTTGTTTAGCTTTTACTTTGGGCTCAGTGTTGGAGTTGCTTGGTCTTCTACGGCTGGAAAGGATGGAACCAGCTTTGTGGGTTGGGAAAGACCTATTTCACTCTCCCAACGTCTTCATGAAGTACTTTCAGTCTTTGAAACATTAAAAACTGTAATCATAGCCTTCTTGGTTTACTGGAGATTTCTTTGCTTGTGATGGGTTGTGAGTAAGCTCCACTATGAGGTCATTTAAGTATCACACAATATTTGATGAGGTAAATATAAAAATCCTTTTAATATGAATTAAATTTTTTTTTGCTGGTTCAAGAAATGGGGTTGACTAGGGTCTGAATTTCCTAGTCTATTTCCCTGTTGCCAATGCTAATTTTTTTTTCTGAAAGTGTTCTGTGATATTGATGGGCCTAAGTTTAAATAGTAAATTTAGATTTTTGAAATGGCTTAGTTTGGAAACATGCTGTTGAGGTTCTGGTTGCTTGCCTGTGTTGTAAGCAATGGAAGTTTGGGAAATCACCAGTCTAGGGTGTCTTACCAGATCAAAATGGCACTCGAGATAGGCAGGCAACAAGCAGTTGGTGGCTTACTGATTCTGGGTTGGTGCTGCCATGGAGGTAAGAGAAGCAGAAAAGAAATTTCTATGGTGAGGGATCTTTGTGATCTAGGAGATGTGGTGAGAGATCAAATTTAGGAAGCAAGTGATAAATGGCCTGGCATGGGTTTTAAGGAGTCAGGGGAGTTCTAAGAAAGGACTTTGTGGGTAAATTGGACAAGCCAGGGGCAGAGTGGCCCTGGAAGGGTGTGAGGTTGGAGTGGCTGGGGAGGGAGACAGTTGGTTCAGACTGGGGGGACGGTGTGGGAAGCACACAGATTGTGACTTAGGGACCATGAGGCCAGAGGAAGACCCTAGTACCAAAATGGAAGAATATTCATGTTTCACAGAGCAGGAAATGAGATGAGAAAGTTGAGGAGAGCCGACTCTGTTTGCCGGGGTCCTCGTCTGCTGATGCGCCATTGGGTTCTTCTTGGTCCGTGCTCACAGCACCAGGTGTCTTCCATTCCAGAGGATGTTTGATGAGAGTCGCCCCTTGTGCTGTGCTGCTTTCTGTATTCCCACATCCACCTGTGGTCCCTCTCTGTCCCGTGCTCTCTTCCTCTGGAACATGTTTATGTGGAGACCGGTTTATGTGTCTGCGGTACCTGTCAGTCCTCCACTGCCAGTATCTACATGTTGAGTTTGTTTAACCATCTGCTCATGGCAGTGACCTTTCTCAGCAGGATGGGCTGGCCCAAGGCTCATAGGCAAATCTTTAAAGGTTAAAGCCAGTCCAGAGCCACCACAGATGATGTCTTAACTCCCCTTCTGTGTCTGAAGGAGATGATGTGGATGCCCTGCTGGTCTCTTCCTGGAGGCTGTGACATTTCAAGGGTCCTGAATCCTGGTGAGTCTGAGCCCTTTTAGTTGGGACCGGGAGCTGTCTGAATCCATAGGGCAACAAGGGTGCAGTGCGGTGATTAACATCCCAGGGCCAGACTGCCGTGTGCTCACTCCTGGGTCTGTTGCTCTGGGCTGTGGAAGACTGGCACAAGTTCAACTTCTTCAATGCTCAGGGTTTTGTTTTTTTTTTTTAAGATTTATTTTATTTTTATTGGAAAGGGAGATTTACACAGAGAGGAGGAGATGCTGGGAGAAAGATCTGTCTGCTGGTTCACTCCCCAAGTGGCACAACAGCTGAAGCTAAACTAATCCAAAGCCAGGATCCTGTAACTTCTAGCTCTTCCATAAATGTGCAGAGTCCCAGGGCTTTGGCCATTTTCTACTGCTTTTCCAGGCCACAAGCAGGAAGCTATATGGGAAGTGGAGCAGCCAGGACATGAACCGGCACCCAAATGGGATCCTAGCGCGCACAAGGCAAGGATTAACCACTGAGCCATTGCACCAGACCCATGCTCAGATTTTTTAAAAATCCTATAAAATAGCTCTAATGACAGTGATGATGATGATAATGATAATAATAATGCCTGTGCTGAGGGTTGATGAGAAATGAATGAGATATGGAATTGGGAAATAGTCTGCTGGGTGTCTTTGTCAACGTTCGATAGACAACATGACTTTTGTTAGGGACTTGGCTGTGCATATGAGGAGACATTTGGGGGCTTTGTGTGGGAAGGGCGTGGGTACAAGTAGAACAGGGTGCCACTGGGGAGAGCAGAGAGAGAAAGGGTGTTAGAGAAGGGAAGGGGCGAAGAGGGAAGGCAGCGGGGCTAGAAATACAAGTTCCCTCTCCAGACCTTCAGTCATTGGATTATTTATTTACTTCTATGGATTCGATTATTATTTTAAAGGCAGAATTATAGAGTGAGAGGCAAAGGCAGAGAGAGAGCGGTCTTCTGTGTGTTGATTCGTCACCGCCCAAAGATGATCACAATGACCAGGGCCAGGCTAGGACAAAGTGAGGAGCTTCATCTGAGTCTTCCACATGGGTGACAGGGGCATAACCACTTGAGGCATCTTCTGCTGCGTTCCTTGGTGCATTATCAGGGAGCTGGATGAGAGGCAGAGTAGCTGCGATTGGAATTTATGGGATGCTAACCCATATGAGATGCCAGCACTGCAGACTGTGGCTTAATGCACTGAGCCACAACACTGGCCCCAGTCATTTGATTTTTTTTTTTTGAGATTTACTTGTTTTTACTTGAATAAAAGAAATTTTCTATTCACTATTTTGCTCCCTAAATGGCTGCAACGGCCAAAACAAGCCGGTCTGAAGACAGGAGCCAGCAGCTTTGTTCACACAGGTCTCCCATGTGGGTACAGGGTCCCAGGGCCTTGGGCCATCCTTTACTGTTTTCCCAGGCCACAAGCAGGGAGCTGGATTGGAAGTGGAGCAGCTGGATTTTGAATTGGCCTCTGTATAGAACAGTTCTGCAGGCATTAAATTAGTCTGCTGTGCTACTGTCCTGGCCGCACCAGTTGCTTCATTCTTTTTTTTTAAGATTTATTTATTTTTATTGGGAGGTCATATTTACAGAGAGAAGGAGAGACAAAGATTTTCCATCTGCCAGTTCACTCTGTAAGTGGCTGCAATGGCTGGAGCTGAGCTGATCTGAAGCCAGGAGCCAGGAGCTTCTTCTGGGACTCTCTTGTTGGCACAGGGTCACAAGGCTTTGGGCCATCCTTCACTGCTTTCCCAGGCCACAGGCAGGGAGCTGGTTGGGAGGTGGAGCAGCTGGAACATGAATTGGCATCCTTATGAAATTGGGTAGATGCAAGGTGAAGATTTAGCTACTAGGCTACTGTGCCGGGCCTGAGTTGCTTCATTTTAACATGCTTGAATTCCCTTAGTTATGGATGGCTTTCCTGAGAACTGCCTTGCTCCCTGGATGTGACCAGTTGTTCAGAGATGACATTGATTTATCTGGTCCTGGCCTGGAATCCTTGTTCCAAAAGCTGACTGGATGTTAAAATCACTTTTAGAACTTTAAACAACTCAGAGTTCTCCTATCTCATACCTCTCCCCGGGAGTGGGGTCTAGAAATCTGTATGACTGACTATTTCAGACCTGACACAACTCCAAGATGGTGGCTTTACACTTGGGAATTTGATGCCGTTAATCCAGAAATCTTAGGGTCCTAAGCACTGAAATGGTGAATTAAATGCTGACAGGAGACAGAACAACCTTCTCTCTGTTGTGATTATTATCTGCACAGAAAAAGGACTTTCCTGTGTTATGAAGTTGCTTCTTGGCATGAGTTCCTGGGAGTGGGATGAGAGTGGGTCAAGAATGTGAGCATATTAAGCTCAATTGTAATTACATAAAATGTAAGGCAATGCTTGGAAAAAAAAAGAATAGCCCTCTGGGGTGTTGTGTCCCCGGAGCAGCTGTGTAGTGTTACTATGGGAAGCCCAGAGGGAGGAATTTGCTTTCAAGCCAAAAATGTGCACGATCACTTCTCCATCTCCCTTTTCCTGTAACGTAGAATACTAATGAATGACTTCTGAAAGAAATGTCCAGAGCGTTACCGAATGTTCCATCGCTTCTTAGAGCACAAATTGGAGCCCTCTTATCTCTACACTTTGCTTCTCGTAAAACTGAAGTCAGCAGTGACTTCTTCCCCAGTTCTCAGAAAAGAAAACCCAGGAAGAGAATGGTTAGGTAACACGCAGCGTGGTTCTCATCACATTTGCCATGAGAATTACACAGTCATCCATTCAGTTCACTGTTAGCATCGACAGGAGGCTGAGGAGCTTGTATACATGACCTCATGGAAAAAAAAGAAACCCTGTAAGATGAACGAGTGGGAGTGAGTAGCCAGGATAAATCATCCCACATGGGTGTTAGCTGGCTCACTCTTTCCCTTTTCTGCATTCTGTTTTAGTCATTATTTTGAATACTCCACGACCTGAAAGTGTGTTTATCCTTCATTGAACCAAAGGGAATAAAGTGAATTTTCAGTTTCTTCAATGGGGAAAAAAAAAGTGCTTTTATAAAATAGCAAGTGATATATTTATAGTGAGGTTCTAGAAACAGCCTGTACTTGCTTGCTGGAGCTAACGGCAGTATTTTCAGAAACGGTGCAAGCCAGTAATTTACTACTGCTATCTGTGTGATGGAAGTACCAGGTGATGGTGTGCTACTCAAGCATCTCTTCAATTCTGTGTTCAGTGATGCCACGTAGGTAGCTTGAAACTGGCTATGGTTGGAGTAATTTGCACTGCGGAAATCAGCACACTCAGTAGATCAAGTTTGCTGTCCTACCTTTCTGTTTTGCGTGAGGGCCAGTGTATGCCATGGGGTTGCTGTGTAAAATACAATCAACCCCAAACACCCATGGCTCCTACAGATACCCAGATCCTCACGGCTCAAGTCCCTTTATATTACAGTTTAATGTTTACATTTTTAAAAAATTATTTATTTTTATTGGAAAGTCAGATGTACACAGAGGAGAAGAGAGAGGAAGATGTTCTGTCTGATGGTTCACTCCTCAGACGGTCGCAATGGCTGGTGTTCTACTGATCCGAAGCAAGGATCCTGTAACCTCTTTTTTTTTTTTTTAAAGATTTATTTTTATTATTTTTTTTATTGGAAAGGCGGATATACAGAGAGGAGAGACAGAGAGGAAGATCTCCTGTCTGATGATTCACTCCCCAAGTGAGTGCAACGGCCGATGCTATGCCGGTCCAAAGCCAGGAGCCTCTTCTGGGTCTCCCACGCGGGTGCAGGGTCCCCAAAGCCTTGGGCCGTCCTCGACTGCCTTCCCGGGCCACAGGCAGGGAGCTGGAAGGGAAGCGGGGCTGCCGGGATAGAACCAGCGCCCATATGGGAACCCCAGGTGTGCAAGGCGAGGACCTTTAACCACTGCGCCACCGCGCCGGGCCCAGGATCCTGTAACCTCTTGCAGGTCTCCCACGCGGGTGCAGCGTCCCAAGGCTTTGATTGTCCTTGACTTCTTTCCCAGGCCACATCAGGGAGCTAGATGGGAAGTGGGGCTACCGGGATTAGAACCAGCACCCATGTGGGATTCTGGTGCATTCAAGGAGAGGACTTTAGCCACTAGGCTACCAAGCAGGGCCCAGTTTAACGTTTACCTTTAATGTGTGCACATCATCCTACATAATTTAAGTAATCACTAGATGATTGATAATGCCTAATACCATAGAAATGCTATGTAAATAGCTTTCATACTGTTTTGTACAGGAAAATATGTTCCTGTTAAGTGTGGGTGCAGTTCTTTTTCCCAGGTGTTTTTGATCTGCAGTTGGTTGAGTCCATGGATGCTGAGTCTCAGCTGCGTGGCTGACTGTACAAATATGGCAGTTTGGCCGCACATATCAAGAGCCATTAGAATGTGCATACACTGTGATCTGATTCTTGCATCCCTGGAGATTTATTCGGAATAAATAACTTGAGGAAGGAATAAGCGACATGCCTGAATACATTCTCTACATTATAACTTATTACAGCAAATTCTGCAGATTACCTCAACACCAAGCAGTAGGCGCTCTGGCAGCGTTAACACTAGAATAATTGAAGGTTATTCTGAGGCTGTGACAGTTATGAAATATATTTGATATGATATCGAATTATAAAATCAGGATGAAAAAGATTGTTTTCAATTCGATTTTTCTGAGGAATGAGAATTAAATGTGAGCCATGAAGGAGGACAGCATTCTGTGCCTTACAATGCTGAGATGGTAGGTTTTTAGGTCCTGGATAGTGGTCATGGTATATGTGCATTTAAACATTTTGCATAATGCCCATAAGGAAGTAACCTTGAATAATCTGTATTTCAGAGGAGGGCTACTGGGAGTGTCTAGGGCTGGCGGATGCTTGCCTTTAGCCTGCAGAGACTTGCTGTGGTTGTCCGGGCGGGGTGTCCGGGCGGAGTGTCCGGGCGGGGCCTTGGACCCAGGCTGTCCTGAGTGAGGCGTGCTAAGCTG